CCTCCTCGGGGTTGCTCTCGTTCCCGAGGTCGACTTGAGTGCGGCTCATGACGAATATTTTCCCGGGAGCGCTGTAGTTCCCTTAGTCGGTGGCGCCTCCGTGTTGTCCTGTGGCGGTGGGGCGTGGTCTTTGGGGTTGGACGCACTAGAAGGCCTTGTGCCCTTCTTCCCCATAGTTGAAGCATCGCCAGGGATTGCCCATGCAATCTTTCCCTCTATGGCTTTTGTTGCATTTTGGGCAAGGGAAGCTCCTTGGGTTTGCGTCATTGTTCCCTAGGGACGATCTTTGGCTGGTCAGGTTGCTTGGCCTTGTGTTAGTGTCGTTCCTTGTTCTTTTTACCGGTGGTGCTCCCCCTCCGGTGTTTCTTTTCCGTATCTGTTCCTGAACCCCGCGCTGGAGTAGTTGGATTCGATAGAGATTGGCGGCACTGGCGTAAGCCTTGTTGAGTGTCCGAGGTCTGCTTACCACTAGCGCCTTCCGGGCTTCGAAGTTGAGGCCCGAGACGAATCTTTCTATTTTGGTTACTTCGGTGGGGACTAGTTCTGGTGCCAAGCGTGCTAGTTCGAGGAATCGCTTGTGGTATTCCATGACGGTGGCTGTCCCTTGTTTTAGATGGAGGAAATCTTCGTACATGGATGCCTTTACGTGTGTCGGGTAGAATCGTTCCCATATTCGTGCCTTGAGGTTTTCCCAATTGAACCCTAGTTTTTGTTGGTAAGCGGGACCCTTGTGGATCCACCAAAGATCGGCCTCGTGTCCGAAGTAGAACGAGGCTATCTCTACGCGACGTTCTTCTGGGCATTCCACTAACCCGAGAATTTTGTCGAGGGTTCGGATCCATTCCTCCAGGATCACGGGGTCCTCTTCTCCTGAGAATGTGGGTGGTCGATGATTTGAAACTTGTCGGGCGACGTCTGAGTTCGTGTTTGATGGAGGTGGCGGGGGCCTGTTGTTGCGAAGAACTACATCGCTTAGTGCTTGGGCGACTTGCGTTAGTTGTTGTAGTGTTTGGGTCAGGGGGTCGTGTGTGGCGGGTTCTGGAGTTCTTGATTGTCTTCTGTTGGGTGCCATGATGTCGCCTTTCTGAGTCAATGTTTATAAGGACATTAAATTAGGGTTTGGTGTCCTTCTTTGATGTGATAAGCGGAGGAAGGTTTTCTTTAGACAAGGAAGAAATGAAGTGAGGGGGTTTATGTGTAGGTTTCACAACTTCACCGCGCGTCCTAAAATTCACGACTACTATGTTCCTAAATACCTAGAGTTCAAGCCTAATGTCCTAAAGTTCGGTTTCAAGAGTCTTATCCTAGGGTCAAACTTAGGCTCTGATACCAACTGTAACACCCAAGGATTTTCAAGATATTTAAAAGTTATAAAATAAAGGCGAAATCTCATTAAATCCCAAAACGTAATACAAGAGTACGGGGTGCTATGCCACACCTGAGCTAGAGAACTCAGGTGCACAGTGTTCAAAAGGAGCACAATGTATCAAAAGGAGCACAATGTATCTAAAGGAGCACAATGTTCTACAGGAGCACAATGTGAACAAGCACGATGTGTCCAAAAGAGCACAATGTGACCAAATCAGAAAAGCACAATGTTCAAGTCAAAAGAGCACGATGTTCAAAGTCAAAAGAGCACAATGTGGCAAAGAAGCAAGATGATCAGAAATTGAATCAATTCGAAGGAATTTATTCCAAGTCTACCCACATGCCACAAGAATCCAAAATTGCCTGAAAGACATTTGATCCGAACGGAAAAATATTTATGAAGACATGAATATAAAAACTTATCCTAGAAATAAATTCTATCAGATGAATTTATTTCAAAGATACGTTGGATATTCTATATGACAACAAAATAATATTTTGAACAAATCAATTGGAGATAAGATATTATTTTGTCAGGCAAGTTGACAATCAAATCAAAATTGAAGACCTACTATTGTCAACAATATCAGGCTATGAAGATTCAAATTTCAAATATCAAATTATCCCACTCCAACGGATATATTTGATTGCTTATAAAAAGCTATGAAGACTTGAAGACAAAGTGTGTGTGGAGCAGAGGTGAACAAGATAGACACGAGATAGAAGTGCAATACACACGAAAATTCAAAAAGTTCAAGTGCTCAAATATTCTTAGAGACTTAGTCTGAATAGTCTCAAATCTAGTTGGAGAGAGATACAATTACCTATGTATTTGTAATTGTAAAAAGAGTATAGCTGTGTGCAAAATACTCTAGTGAGTGTAGCTGTGTGCAAAACACTCGTAGTTGCTAAGTGTAGCTGTGTGCAAGACACTTAGTTGGCGTTGAGTATAGCTGTGTGCGAGATACTCGGAGTTGAGTGTAGCTGTGTGCGAGGCACTCGAAGTTGGGTGTAGCTGTGTGCAAGACATCCGGATGAAGTGCTTGTGTAGCGCTTATTCACTATTGTAACTGTGTGTGGAAAAATAGTGAATTTCTCCTAGACGCGAAAGGAGAAAAGTGGACTAGGAAGATTACGCCACTTCCGAACCACTATAAATTGCCTCTCTCATTTACATACCGCACTTACATAATTTGCTCTATCTATCTATCTTATCCGACTAACCCGTTTTCTATTCACAATCAATCTTAATCGTTCGGGTTTAGTGTGTTTTCACGTATGCATGTGACTCAAACTTCTCGAGCTTAAATATTGAATTATTCTAAGCATGTTTGACGTGTTGCATGTAACATTCGTTACACGGTCGACGTGATACGATATTTATTTACAATCTTGAATATTGTTATTATATATTGAGTGAACCATCTCCTTTATATATTCAAGATACCTCTGTTACTTTATTCTATCTTACATGCATATTTAATTCATTAATTGGGCCTAACTCTTTACATACTACCTATTCCGCTGTGCAGTTTAAACTTACTCTATTTACTTGCTACTTAGAGTTGAAGTTACCAAAGAGTTATTTAAATTGTGAAAAAGTTTAGAAAGTCTATTCACCCCCCCCCCCTCAAGACTTTCTACCACCCTATCGGGACCAACAGCAACCCCTTAGGCTTTTTCTATCTTAGAAACGTTTAAGGGTCGGTGCCCCGTTGTTTCTTTTTTTTCTTGCCGAACCCCTCAGTCGAGGCGACCCTTTAGGATTTTCTATCTTAGAAACGTTTAAGGGTCAGCGCCCCGTTGTTTCTCTCTTTTCTCGCCAAGTCCCCCAGTCGAGGCGACCCCTTAGGCTTTTTCTATCTTAGAAACGTTTAAGGGTCAGTGCCCCATTGTTTCTCTCTTTTCTCGCCGTGTCCCTCAGTCGAGGCGACCCCTTTGGCATTTTCTATCTTAGAAATGTTTAAGGGTCTGTGCCCCGTTGTTTCTCTCTTTTCTCGCCGAGTCCCTCAGTCGAGGCGACCCCTTATGCTTTTTCTATCTTAGAAACGTTTAAGGGTCAATGCCCCGTTGTTTCTCTCTTTTCTCGCCGAGTCCCTCAGTCGAGGCGACCCCTTAGGCATTTTCTATCATAGAAACGTTTAAGGGTCAGTGCCTCATTTTTCTCTCTTTTCTCGCCGAGTCCCTCCGTCGAGGCGACCCCTTAGGCTTTTTCTATCTTAGAAACGTTTAAGGGTCGGTGCCCCGTTGTTTCTTTCTTTTCTCGCCGAACCCCTCAGTCGAGGCGACCCTTTAGGATTTTTCTATTTTAGAAACGTTTAAGGGTCAGTGCCCCGTTGTTTCTCTCTTTTCTCGCTGAGTCCCCCAGTGGAGGCGACCCCTTAGGCTTTTTCTATCTTAGAAACGTTTAAGGGTCAGTGCCCCGTTGTTTCTCTCTTTTCTCGCCGAGTCCCTCAGTCGAGGCGACCCCTTAGGCATTTTCTATCTTAGAAATGTTTAAGGGTCTGTGCCCCGTTGTTTCTCTCTTTTCTCGCCGAGTCCCTCAGTCGTGGCGACCCCTTATGCTTTTTCTATCTTAGAAACGTTTAAGGGTCAGTCCCCCGTTGTTTCTCTTTTTTCTCGCCGAGTCCCTCAGTCGAGGCGACCCCTTAGGCATTTTCTATCATGGAAACGTTTAAGGGTCAGTGCCCCGTTGTTTCTCTCTTTTCTCACCGAGTCCCTCAGTCGAGGCGACCCCTTAGGCTTTTTCTATCTTAGAAACGTTTAAGGTTTAATGCCCCGTTGTTTCTCTCTTTTCTCGCCGAGTCCCTCAGTCGAGGCGACCTCTTAGGCTTTTTCTATCTTAGAAACGTTTAAGGGTCAGTGCCTCGGATACAGGAGAGTAATCAATATTTATTCAAAGCTGTGTTTTAATGAATACACGGGCTAACCTTTCACTGGTAGTATTTCTTCAAATGGATCACATTCCAGATTTGGTCGATAGGCTCCCCTTCTAAGGTTTCCAACTTGTAGGTGCCATCTTGGATTACGGCAGCCATCCGGTAAGGTCCTTCCTACTTGACTGCGAACTTCCCTCATTCGGTGGGTCGGCTAGCCTGTCGATCACGTAAGACAAGGTCCCCCACCTGGAAAGCTCGGGGTCGGATTTGCTTGTCACGATACCTCTTGACAGTGTGCTGGTATTCCACCATGCGAGCGTGTGATGTTTCTCTTCGTTCTTCCAGGAAATTCTTCTCGATCCTAAGGTTCTCCTCGTTTCCCTCATCGGTGTAATGGCGAACCCTATGAGTGGGCTCGACAACCCCTATGGGCACCTTTACTTCAAAGCCGTATGCTAGCGAGAACGGGCTTTCGCCGGTAGGTCGCCTCTAAGTGGTGCGATACGCCCACAAGACGTGGTCCAACTCATCAGCCCAGTTTCCTCCCACGTCTTCTATCTTTTTGCGAATACCGTCCACAATGGTGCGGTTCACATTCTCGACCTGTCCGTTGGCATGAGGATAAGCGACCGACACCTTGGTATGCCGAATGTTGTGCCGTCGACAGAAATCTGCGAAGGGTTGACAATCAAGCTGTCGACCGTTGTAGCTGACTAAGTGCTCGGGCAATCCAAAACGACAGATCACTTTCTTTCATAAGAAACGTTGACATTGATACTCAGTAATGGTGACTAGAGGCTCGGCTTCCACCGACATGGTGAAGTAATAGATGACCACCACGTAGAACTTAAAACGCCCTGGGGCAACCGGTAGAGGGCCGAGTAGGTCGATCCCCCACTTAGCGAACAGAATGGCAGTGGAAACCGGAGTGTAAAAGGTGGCTGGCCGAGTGTCTTTTCGTGCGAACGCCTGACACACGGTGCACTTCGCTATCCAGTCGATGCAGTCTCTCATCATAGTAGGCCAATAATATCCTTGGACAACTAACTTTCGTGCGAGGGTGTGAGCACCTTGATGAGCTGCGCATATCCCGTGGTGGGCCTCGTCCATTATTCTCTCCGCCTTAGGTCGGAGTAGGCACTTGAGGAGGGGGCCCTCAAATGACCTCTTGTATAACTGCCCATCTATGATCTCAAAGGAAGGGGCTTTTCTCCGGACTCGGGCAGCGACCGTGAGGTCGTTAGGCAACTTTCCCTCTTCTTTGTAACGCCGGATGTCTTCGATCCAGAACATTTCTGGGTTTTTGGCACGGTTCCAATCCGGGACCGTTACCTGCTGAACTTCTTCGTCGGGTTCCTCGATGCTGGGTCGGCGCAGCTCCTCCTTTTGACAGATCCTTAGGAGATGGTCCGGCACTCCTTCCAAGGCGATCTTTGACAAGATGTCATCTTCCGTGTTCTCGGCCAGCGAGATGTTCTCTATCTCGTAGGCGGCAAACCCTTTTAATAACTCCATGGTCTTCTCTTTGTACTGTGCCAGTCGAGTACTTCTAGCTTCGTAGGTTCCTAATACTTGTCCTATCGCATGGCGCGAGTCCGTCTTAATATGCAGGCGGTCGAATCCTAGGGCCTTGGCGAGCCGGATGCCTCCCAGCACAGCTTCATACTCTGCCTCGTTATTGGATGCCTGGAATTGATAGCTCAGGGCGTAGTATAACCGAAATCCTTCCGAAGTGATTAGCATAACCCCACCGCCACAATGCTGGCTACTCGTAGCTTCGTCGGCATGTAGTTCCCACCATTCTCCCGAACCTTCTTCCGAGGTTGGGGTTTCATCGACTTCTCCTATTGCGCATTCGACTAGGAGGTCGGCCAACGCTTGCACCTTGATTGAAGGGCAGGGTTGGTACTCAATTCCATATTGGATCAGTTCCACGGCCCACTTGACGAGTCGCCCTGAGGACGTGGGGTTGCATAGCACACCTCCCAAGGGTTGATCAGTTAAGACTCGGACGGTGTGCACCTGAAAATAAGGTGCTAGCTTCCGCACTGTGACCACTAGTGCATATACCACCTTTTCTAGGGGAGTATAACGAGTTTCTGCCGTTTTTAGAGATCGGCTGACGTAGTAGACCGGATGCTTAGCCCGCTCTTCTTCCCGAACGAGCACTGAACTGACAGCCTTGGGTGACGCCGCTAAGTATAAGTATAGGGGTTCGCCGACCTGCAGGGTAGATAATACGGGAGGCGTCGAGAGGTACCTCTTCAACTCTCCGAAGGACTCTTGACACTCAGCCTTCCAAGCGAAGCCTTCTTTCTTCTTCATAGCCTCGAAAAAAGGTACAGTCTTGTCTGCCAACTTGCTTAGGAACCGGCTTAGGGTGGCCAGTCGGCCGGTCAACCTCTGAAGATCCTTTATGGTGCTGGGAGGTTGCATGTCCATAATGGCTTAGACCTTCTCGGGGTTCGGCTCAATGCCCCGCTTGGTCACCATGTAGCCCAAAAATTTCCCTCCTTGCACGGTAAAGGCGCACTTTTTGGGATTAAGCCGTCGAATATATTTAAGCATTACCTGGAAAAACTCGGCCAGATCTTGAGCATGACCTGACTCTTCCGGGCTTTTGACCAACATGTCATCAACGTACGCCACCATAGATTTTCCCAATAGATCTTGGAATAGCCGAGCGACCATTCGGGTGTATGTAGCCCCGACGTTTTTGAGTTCGAAGGGCATCACCTGGTAGCAGTACACACCATTGGGGGTGATGGAGGCCGTCTTCTCTTCGTCGGCTTTGTGCATGTAGATCTGATGGTAGCCTCGGAAGGCATCCATGAAGCTCAATAGGGCCGACCCTGCAGTCTCGTCGACTAGCTGATCAATCCTGGGTAGAGGAAAAGGATCCTTCGGACAGGCCTTGTTGAGGTCGGTGTAATCTACACACATTCTCTGTAACACCCCCGTTTTTCATGCCATTTTAAAGCTTAATATGCAAAGTAAACTAACCAACATATAACATAAAACGTGAGCACAACGGAAGTCTAATATAAAAACCGGGAAAACCAAAGAGTGTTATGCCACGTTCACCCTAATGTGAACGCACAGGCAAAGTCTAAAACCATCCAACTAGTATGTTCAACATCTGTGGCACACAGGCCAAAACACTAACTATACTGTTTAGGGGATCTAAACTATCCACGGCTAACGCTCTCGCCATCTACTCAGGATCTATAAAGCATATAAAGAAAGGGGACGACGCCCGGTCAGCGAATATTGCTAGTAACCCATCAATACGCGTTCAATAGCATATATGGATAGTTTAATACAAAATCATTTTCGAAATAGAATACAGTATATATCAGTTCAAAACCGTAAAGAGAGAAGTCAACTGCAAAGACTCTATTTCACTCCCAACAAGGACAACGGGAATCAACATCCCAAGACAACATCAAGACAAGAACGACAACAACACAAGTACAACTCGAGGTGTATTTTACTGATCACAAACTAGAATACCACTCGACATGCTCAACAGAAAAGGATAGACAAACAATCATTGGCAACACATGCCAGCGTGACACTACATGTCACATGTTACAAATTCCATGTTCCATATTCCATCCTTATGCCCGGTTCTGACCTTGTGACTACCCCCGACCTTATAACTAGTTCTAACCTTTACCTCCAGGACCCCTGTACTTCTGAGTCCAACCTTATACCTTCAGGAACTGTCGTTCCTCCACCAACAACCACCAACATTTCCACCAACACATAGTACACGAGGGTACCGTTCATTTCAATCACACAACCACTAACAAGTGAGCCTGAAGCCCATGAGCCTGAAGCCCATAATACAACTCCATAATATCATTTCATGGCCACCACGAGGACCACATTTGTACCTTGGTGACTAATGTCCCATACCATTAATCGTGCAATCCAGGTACAGCCAACACACACATCATCATAGGAATCAATCAACAGATCACAACGAAGATATGAAACCATACTCAATCAAGGAAGGATTACAATCCGACACCAACGATGATCAACACAAGTTATCATCCACAATGGGAAAGAACAAACCACACACACTAGCATTTCAACATCAAACTAGCATGCTTATCAAATTGGTAAACCAAACATAGTTCCAAAGAACGTACAAGAATCATCTTGGTTCAACGAATCACAAGGTTGAACACTTAGCACGATTCAAGACACCAAATCCTACATGGATTCCTACCATTACGTTCTAGACATACGAAACATCAAGAAGACACTCAAATAGCCTAACAAAAGAACATCGGGAAGTCAAAACATCAATTACCGAGTCAAAAGAATTACGGGGAACAAATCCCCAAACATCACCATTGTGTACCCCGCGGGTGGGGCCACGGGCGTGGTTCTGCCCGCGGGAACTCAACTCCACCAGCTGTGTACCCCGCGGGTGGGGCGGCGGGTAGGCCACTGCCCACCGTTCCGCCCGCGGGTACAACCTGTACCACAAATAATCCCTTCGGGGATTTTCAACACCAAGTCCAAAACACCCAAAATCTCACAAAATACAACAATATGACTTGAATCAAAGGAATAGCCAAGCAATGGCATACAAGGACCCTAATAACAAGCTCTAGATATGCATTCTCACAAGACAATGCATCAAAACTCGCATTTCATAGCAAAAATCACATGTAGAAGTCAAGAAATCATCATATAGGTAAGAAAATAGATTTTGTAAAGCATGGGTTACCTCTTGTAGCCTACAACTTCACTTATCACACCCTTACAAGCTTCTATTAAGCCTCTCCTTCAACTTCAACTTCACAAACACACCGAAAGACAACAAAGATTTCATCTTTAGAAAAAGACACCTTAAAAGGTACTAAAAACACTAAAGGACCAAAGATCTTACACTCCTATATGCTCAAGATTAAGAAAGGTTGAATCTTGGAGACCAACTTGAAGAATCTTGGAATGCCCAAACTTGGCTTGAAGAAGAAGCTAGCTATTTTCTAGAGAGAAGGAGGAGATTTTCTTTTTAGGGTGTTAGGGAAAAGAATGAAAGATGACTCTAGGCTAGCTTGGGATACAATCATAAGGTGAAAAGTCTTCTTTACCCTTACTAAAATGAAAAAATGTAAGGAGACAAGGGAACAACTCATGAAGCATAAGGTACAACCCATTGACTTGGATTGACTAGTCAATTACTAGTCCTCCGACTATTGAATTTTCAGGATTTTAGAAATAAACTATCAATTAAGCTAGGATTAATTACTTAATTAATCCTTAAATAGAATTTGGATTTATGGGGTGTTACATTCTCTAGGCCGGCGGTTTTGGCACTAGTACCACGTTGGCCAACCAATCCAGATATTTCACCTCTCGGATGTGGCCGGCAGCCAGCAACGTGCTCACCTCCTTCTTCACGAATTCTCGTCGGTCGTTGGCTAAGTATCGCTTTTTCTGAATCACGGGGCGATGGCCGGGATCTACCACAAGTCGGTGAGAGATGATAGAACGGTCCACACCCGGCATGTCCTCTGGCTCCCAAGCGAAGACCAGGCGGTTTTCACGGAGCACACGTATGACTTCCGTTCATATTTCCTCCCTGAGGCCGACTCCGATTCTTACCCGCCTCTCTGGTCGGGCAGGGTCGATCTCCACTTCTTCTAACTCCACGATCGGTTCAGGGCGAGGTGGCATTGCTTTCTTTGCGGGCCGCTCGGTGATCTCATGCACTTGCATTTCTCGTCTTCCCATTCCCCAGCATACCTGCAGATAGCACTCTCGGGCGACTCTCCGGTCACAACGCACCGTGCCCACTCCTGTCGGCGTGCAGAATTTCAGACAGAGGTGCTCGACGGAGATCTACGTTCCCAAGTCCTCCAGGCCGGGTCGTCCGAGGATGGCGTTGTGGGAGCAGGCTAGGTCAACCACAAAGAATTTCATTTCCAGCTTCTTTATGTCAGGATAGCTGCCGATCTCAACCGGCAGGGTGACAGACCCTTCAGCCTCGATGGAATCCCCAGTGAAACCTGCTAGTGGCGTCTTGATCGGGGTCAGTCGTTCTCGTGCTAGACCCAACTTGGTGAAAGTTTCGAGATACAGGATGTTGACACTACTCCGGTATCCACCAAGATTCGTCGAACGACCACCCCGTTCACGTCTATCGCGATAACCAGTGTGTCGCGGTGCGGTGCCTGACCAGTCGGCAGGTACTTATCCGTGAAAGTTATGGATTCTCTGCATACCCTCTTCGGGCTGCCTTCATGCCCGTACACTGTCCCCACGTACAGCTGCCGAGCACAGGTCTTTCAAGTATTAGAGGATTCGCCTCCTTCCGGCCCGCCAACTATCATATTGATGACCGACTTCTGTCTCCATTGCGCCTCATCTTCCGTGGATACCGTCTGCTTGCCGTGATCTATGTTGGCCGACCCGGAGGGGTCGCCATCCTCCTTGATCTGGGATGCAGCTCTTCTTCGCCATTGATTAGGAGGCGACGTGCCTTGCTAAATGATCCCCTCCATGATCTTCTTTAAGTAATAGCAATTTTCCGTATTGTGAGTATAAGTTTTATGATAGCGACAGTACTTGGATGACTTACCTGGGTCGGCACTCGTCGTATGCTCACTCGGCGGAGGCGGTGTACCCCCTTTTACCTCGTGCACCGGATGCTGAGGAAGCGATCGGTAAGGGAGAGTACTGGCTCTGTCGTAAACGCGCCAGGCCTCCTGTCGGCTTGGCGGATCCCGATGTCTTTCTTCCGCATCTACTTTGGTTCGTTTCCCTCCTGAGGCCCCTCCGACCTCACGCTGTCGCTTGTACTTCATCGCCTGCTCAGTGTTAGCTCGCTTATTGGCCATGTGTATGGCCTCCGCGTATGTGGCTGGCCGATTATCCCATAAGTCTCGATACAGCTGGCCGGATCGAAGCGACTCAACGAAGAATGTGAGCGCGGTCTGATCCTCGACTTCTTTAATAGATTGGATCTCCTTTTGCCACCGAGCCAAGTATGTTTTGAGGGATTCACCCTCATCTTGATGAATATCGCCAAGATGCGTAAGATCCTTCTTAGGCTTTATGTTGGAAGAATAGTGACTCATGAAACGGTCGGCCAATCCCTAGAAGCTACGGACCGATCCCGGTGGTAGGGCGACGAGCCATCTTTGAGCTGGCCCTTTCAGAGTCGGCAAGAAGGCGCGGAACATGACAGGGTCCTTGACCCGTAAGACTTGCATTTTCGCCTGGTAACTAAGGAGGTGTTCGCGCGGATCACCTGACCCATCGAAAGTAGCTTGCTCTGAGAACTTGAAGTCGCCGGGTATCTTATATGCCATGATTTCGGCTGAGAAGGCAAGGCGGTGAGCAACGTTTGACTGGGAGACTTGGTTTTGCCCTCTACTTGTTCCTTTAAATTTCGCAGTTCCTAAGCCAAATAAGTCATCTCTCCAGAGTTTCGGGTATGATTTCCAGTGGACTCGGTGCTCTCTCCGATTTGAGATTCGGCTTGCCGATCCTCGTTACGGGCAGGCCTCTCAGTCTGCTGCCCCTGGGTTCTAGTTCTTCGTGTGTGAGTCTTTTCTCGGGCGACCTCATGATTCTGCCGACCTGACCGCGCTTGGCTGGGCGCTCCCTTTCCCAATCGTTCTTTTGCCGAGCGTCGGGTCGTGTTTGGGCCTAGTCTGGAGTGCACAGACCGAACTGGTAGATCTTCCACCCTCCAATCCTCCCGCCCGTCTCTATCAGACCTTTGGGGCGGATGCTGGTTTTGCGGCTGCGGATTCGGCGATTAGGAGATCGATGGTTCTCTTAGTTCCTGGGTTTGTCCGGCTACGGCGTGAGCAATGGCCTCGATCTGCACGGGGGTAAGAGTTATCATTGATGGAGGCCAATTTTGAAGCGGCGAATCGTCTCCCTGACTTTGCGAATTTTGCTGATTCAGTTGATTCCTCAGGTCTGCCTCGGGCACGCTACGACGGTCGGAGGCCTGGCTTCGATCCTCAACCATTGTTTTGAACTTCTGCCCTTGTTACCCGACTTTCTGCTATGTTTCTAACTCCTTTCTCAATGCAAGAGAGCGATCGTAATCTTTCGTTTCGATCCCCACAGACGGTGCCAGTGTTGGTTTTAGGGTTTTTGGGCCTAGGGAGGTCCAACACAACCTTGGTTGGTGGATTTACTTTTCAAAAATAGAAGGGAAAGTAATAGCTCTTATAAGTGTGTGTATACTCTTGGCCCAAACTTGCCGTCCGCCTTTGCATTCTTGAGGAGTCCCCTTTTATAGTGGGTCTCCTCAGATTCATTAAAAAATACACATTTAAGGTCATAAATCGGCCTATTAACTCTATGGGCCGTTGGGTTGCCGTTACTGGGCCTCCCAACGGTTTGCAGACCGGGCCTCTTAAATGGCCGCTTTAATGTTCCAACGGATATCTTCGTGCCGCCCGCCTATTCGCGCCGAGCTCGGGCTTGAGCCGACCTCCTGCTTCTAACTTCTGCCTCTGAGCTGTTTCCTCTTCTGGACTTGGCCCTCTTTCTTCTTGGGTCTCTCTTCCTCTTGGGCCTCTCTTATTCCTTTTTGGGCCCCGAGCCCACGGGGTTCACACCCCATCAATATTATTACTAAATAAATATGGGAAAAAAATAAAATAATTTAATTATAATTATTATAAAAATAAATTCAATGGCCCATTGTTAACTTAATTACCATAATATTTATTAAGCAATTATTATTAGGTAATTAAACTAATATCTTTACAGTTATACTTTTATACCTAATTAAGTATATTCGTTTTAACCATTTCACCTGATGGATTTAATTAATCCGGGGTGGCCCAAATTATCAAACCCGGAAAAGATTATATAAGATTATATATGGAATAAATAAACGTAACTCGAAGATATAGTAAGGTCGCGAGGACCGTAGGTCGCAGGGATTGTAAATCGTATTAAATTTCACTAATAAGCTATTACAAGGCTTGATTAGGACAATAATAGCTATAAAGTAGTAGTTTAGGACAAGATGGGGGCTTTTATATCAACTAAACCCCCTCCGCACCCGAAAAACCACGGGTGGTTAGATTGGCCCGCTTTGACCACGTCCTATCCGGGACTGGGTCCAAAGTGAGGCGACTCGGTATGGCCGAGCTGGGCATGTACCGAGCTTGGCCTAGCCGAGTCCACCTTGGACCGACTCGGCAATAGCTAAGGTCCATGGTGACGAGCTCGGTTACACAGAGCTCGTCCGTGGCTGGGCTCGGCCCACAGCCGAGCTGCTTGGGCCGACCCGGTCACAGCCCAAGGGGTTGGGCCGAGGCGTCTCGCGTCGCGGCGATTTGGGTCCGTCTCTCCAGGTCGGTTCGCTCCAGGTCCAATATATCCATCACGAGTCCCCCACTCTCTTCGTTGTGATGAGTCGACAATGATAGAGAGTAGACACATTGCGAGCCGACTCCTATGCGGTCACCCCGAGTTGATAATTAGCTGACCTCCACCAAATAAAATCTTTATCGCGGATAGAATTTCCCTTGCGAAAAAGCCTCCCCAGATATGGTAGAATCTCTATTAACATGCAATTCCCTCCTTATAAATTCTTGAGAATCTCACCCATCATATCTATCAAATCTTCCTCCCATCCCCATTACCTTTTCTTCTTCCCCATACACCTTTTCAAATTTTAAACTTTTGGTCAACTCTTCCCCTTCCCCCTCTTTTCCACCACCTATCTCATATTTAAACCCCCCCATTCTCCATATTTTCGGCCACTCCACCATATCACCACACCAAGAATCTCTCAAGCTCCTCCTAGGGTCACAAGCTTTCATTCGAGTCTCCAAGTTTCATCCCGAGTCCGGTTAGTCGTTTCTTTTTCCTCTCCTTCTTCCTAGTTGCTCGAGTTGCATAATATATATATATATATATATATATATATATATATATATATATATATATATATATATATATATATATATATATATATATATATATATATATATTTTCGCCCAAAGGGCTGGGCCGAGGGGTCCCCTTCCATGGTCCCTCCTCCTTTGTCTCTTTTGTATGTCCATTAGTTTCGATCTTGGCGTGTTGGACTCCATTGACGAGAGTGAGATCGATATGGACGACTCCCACTCTCCGGACGCGTTGATCCCGCTCGAAAATAAGCTTCCCGCATTCCCCGAGGGTTCCGAGGACCTTGGGGACGACTTGGAGGCCGCGAGCCCGCGCGAGGTCGAGGTCGAGTATACCGACCTCGACCCGCACATCCCAAGGATCACTATGGCCCGCCATTCGCCCTACCAACTTGACAAGGCTCGTGCGATAGTGGGACCGGGCATCGAGGTGGTAGTGCCCACCTTGGATGACAACGTGACCGCCCCTCCGCGGGTCGGCCTCTTTGGGGTGCACGTCCCTTCTCTTTCGTATGGGTTGCGTTTCCCGCTCCACCCCTTTGTCGTGTCTCTCCTCAACTACTACGAGATTGCCCCCGGACAACTAGTCCCGAACTCGCATTGTGTGCTATTGGCCTTCCTCCTTAGCTGTAGAGAGGTGCGCATAATGCCCTATCTTGACCTCTTCAACTACCTTTTCCAAGCCACGAATTCCACGGGTCGTTCAAGCAAGGGGTGGGTGTCTTTCTCAGCTCGCCCCCATATGAAAACCTTCCAGGATCTCAATTCTCCCAATCACGTGTGGAAACCCAAGTTTGTGTATATCTACGTAGGACCCGAGTTTCCCTTCATGTCTCATTGGAGTTC